TTATTCACACAAACACACACACACACACACACACACACACACACACACACACACACACACACACACACACACACGAATAAGAATAGTAAAAATAAATCTACATTTTTAAAAAATAATAAAATGAAGTTTGTAAACCTGGAGCTTGCTAGTTTATCTATAATAGCTCTCCAACAAACTCTCAGGACCCTTCCTGTCTAATCTACTGACTGGCAGCATTGGGAGTACAGACAGTACACTGCCACAAGCAGCTTTACATTGGTGCTGGGGACCAAACTCAGTCCATTTTGCCAGTGAGCCATTTCCTAATCCTTAGATCCTGTAGTATGTTGCCTAATGTAAAAGATTTGGCTCTTTGATCCACTTTAAATTGATTTAGTATAGGATGGGAGACAGTCTTTTACAAGTGGATATCCAGTTTCCCCAGGACCATTTGCTAAAGATATTGTTTGCAGCACCTTTGTCTCCTCAGCCACACAGAATGAGGTTAGATACTATTTCCCATGGCTGCCAGTTTGAGTAACTTAAAACAAACACATAAAATGCTTAAAAAAATGTACCTGGTACACAGAACAAGCATTTTAAAAAACCCATTGACTATTGCTTTGGTTCTCTTGAAAAATTTAACTATCCTAAAATCTCTTCAACATTTGGCCATTTCTTCAGTTTATATGACTAGTGTGCTTCATCAATAGTCTATCCTTTCTTCTTGTACTGATCTTAGATGGGCCTTGCTTTCCTTACGGCAGGGGGGGGAAAATTTTGGGGGTTTTGCCCACATCTTGTAGCTACACTGACATAGCTGGAATTCATTCATTCTCGTTGACTCTCTTTAGGCCTCTTTATGTAGCTCAGGTTGGTCTCTAACTTACTCCATAGGCCAGGCATGGATAATCCTGATGCCTCAGCCTCCCAATGCTGGGATAACAAATATACATCTCTACACCTAGCATGGGATGGCTTTTTAAAAGGCATCTCAAGTCTCACTAGATTGTCTTTGCTTTTATCTGCGACACTGGGTTGCCTCTGCATCTTCATATCATATTTAGGAGTAAGACACATCTTTAAGATTCACTGAGAATCTCTTTCTTTGATTCCCTATCTTGGCTGTGCATTTGCTATTTTAAAAATTGATAGTGTGCTTTCTGTTGCTGTGATAAACACTGTGGACAAAAGCAATTTAGCAGAGGAAAGGATACATTTCAGTTTATATTCCAGGTCACAGTCTATCATTGAGAGAAGTCAGGGCAAGGACTCAAGGCAGGACCCTAGAAGCAAGAACCATGAAAGAATAATCTCCCATAGATGTGGCAACTGGCCAATCTGATCTGACAAATCCCCAGCTGAGGTTCCTTCTTGCCAGGTAACTCTAGGTTGTATTAAGTTGACAATAAAAGCTAACCAGTCTCTCTATATATGTTTTACACTATTTGAGGATGTTTAGTGGTAGGAATGGAATATTTAATCTTTTTTTTTTTTGGTTTTTCGAGACTGGGTTTCTCTGTGGCTTTGGAGGCTGTCCTGTCCTGGAACTAGCTCTTGTAGACCAGGCTGGTATCAAACTCACAGAGAGCTGCCTGCCTCTGCCTCCCAAGTGCTGGGATTAAAGGCATGCGCCACCATCGCCCAGCTGGGATATTTAATCTTGAGCCACTAAGATTACCATGTTGGAAATTTATAAATAAAGGGGGGTGGGGGTAGAAGTGTATATGAGCGTGTGTGTGTGTGTGTGTGTGTGTGTGTGTGTGTGTGTGTGTGTGTGTGCCAAAGATCAACACTGGGTGTCACCTTTTATCCCTCTCTAATTTTTTGAGATAGTTGTCTCTTACTGAACCTGAGGCTTGCTATTTTCATCTAGACTGTCTGGCCATTAAGTCCCTGGGATCTATCTTTGACCCTTCTCCAGCACTGGGATTAAAAGATATATGTACTTTACCCACTTTTGCATGGGTGCAAAGGATCTGAACTCAGGGTCTCCCATCTGCATGGCAGACATTTTATCCCTCGTCTACCTCCTCAGCCCCTCATATGTTCTTTTTAAAAATCTTTCTATTTTTTATATGAGTATTAGAAAATGTATTCTAACGCTTAGAATTTTTCCACATCTCAGATGAACACATAAATACCTTCTGAGTTGAAAGTTAAAAAGTCCAAAAGAAGACAAAGGGTAAGTAGGTAAAGTTCCCTATTCACAGAATGCCTCAAACCAAGTTTGCTTACTGTTTGGTTACCTCAACCACTCTGATGGCTTCCATTGTACCTCAAGGTAGCACACTCCCAGCAGATGCCCCTTTGATAGTTACCATTCTCATGACACTCACTCTAATATCTAACTTCTGCTGATTTTCTGTACATGACAACACTGTAATGGATAAATTGTTAAAATTTTCTGTGTAATAAAGATGTAATAAAGATGGATTATAACTCTTTCTAATGAAAGAATTGGTCACTCAAGACTCAGAATGAACACACTTCCACTCCTGAAAACACTCCTGCCATATTGCCTATATATCTGTGTGATTTCAATAGGAGCAATGGATCAGTTTTAAGTATAAATTTTGATTATTGTAAAATTGAACTCCAGTTTTCCAGGCTATTATTCTATAAAGTTTTATTCATTCCAGCCCAAAACATCTCTTTGGTGTGATCTCCCTTGTACACACATGGCTGAATACTAGTGCTGTGGAGAAAACTCATCAACACTAGGTGGTTTCTCATGTTTATAATCTCGTATTTCTAACGGGCTGTCTTCTTTCTGATGACAAACCCACTTGTTTCCACCCTCTAAAACAGTGGCTCTCAACCTGTGGGTCAAAACCCCTAGAGTCTCTGCACCAGATATCAGATTCATAACAGTAGCAAGATTATAGTTATGATTGTGGTAATAAAATAATTTTATGGCTGGGTGTCACCACAACACGATGAACTGTATTAATGGGTTGCAGCATTAAGAAGGTTGAGAACCGCTGCCTTAAAAGAAGTATTCTTACTCTCTTCCCCTTTATCCTCCTCCATCACTTTTCCTTACTCAGGATCATGCCTCACAAGTCACCAAGAGAGCAGAAGTAGACAGGAACAACTGACAATGACACACTTCCTCCAACAAGGCCCTATCTATCCCAATAAAGTCACACCTCTTAATCCTTTCAAATAGTACCACCTCCTAAGCATTCAAATATATGAGCCTATTGGGGTCATTCTTACTCAGACTACCACACCCATAGATGCTAGAAATACAACTCAGGTTCTGTGGGAGAACAGTAAGTGCTCTTAACCACCGAAGAACCTTTCCAGCCCCTGGTTTACATTTTATGTACTTACACACTTTGTGTGTGTAATCTATATAAGTCCAGAATGTTGGAAATGTTTCATAGACATTTAAAATAGTTAAACTGGTGAAATTGAAAGCATTTTCTAACTCCTATTTGCCAAGTGTCACTGTCATTACCAGCCCTAAATCAACAGGAGCACTAAAACACACTGAATGGCTCCTATTCTAAGGGCCTTTTATCCTTCATCCCAGTCATCCGGCACCCTTCAAGGAAGTTACTACTTCATTCTCATTTCACACACAAGGAAACTGAGTCACAGAAAGAGTCATACAACTAGAAAGTGGTAAATCCAAGATTCAAACCAACTAATTTCATAATCTCCATGCTTAGCTTATTAAAATGATAATTATTGTATCATTAGTTATAGTATTACCGAATATCTATTACAGGCAGGGGACTTGGACTTTTACTTAATTCTCACAACAACCATTCAATGAAGCTTTTATATTCATTTTATAGATGCAGAAATAAGATCAAAGAGATAAAACATCTGGCTTAGAAACAAGTAGGAAGTAAGTATTGCAGCAAAGTCCTGTGTAAGACTCCATTTCATGTTCCTCCTTGCATTTCCATCAAAATGACTGAACTCTCTTCCAGGATCTATAATCTATAAACTCAGGAACTCTGTAGATTCTGGAGAAGTTTCTCATATGTACAGCTTCTTTGGCTTTTCTGTTCACTTAATAGATGCTTGCAGATGGCCTAACATGGCTGCTGTATCATAATTCTGAGTGAAATTGGGTTCTGATGCACACTCTACCCTTACCTGTGAAGAAACTTCTCATAGGTCTGGCGGAAGGCAAACCCTGCCCGGCGCACTCTCACGTTCTCCAGTAGTCCAAGGTATTCCACCTGATGGCGACAGCGCTCATCATCAAATATCTGTGGGGACTTCTTGTCATTGGGTTTGATGCAACGTACATAGTATGGCTCCTAAAGAAATAAATAAGTTGTCATTGGGTTTGATGCAACGTACAAAGTATGGCTCCTAAAGAAATAAATAAGCAATGGCGGAATTCACTGTAGACCTAGACAAGGGATGTTAGCAGGTCATTAGTGTCAACTGTGTCAAATTAAGCTCAGAGCCTTGGATCACTCAAGTATATATCTATGAATGAAGCATTCTTCTTTTCTGCCTCAATTCAAAGTAGTGATAATGTAATCACAGTTGATATTTTAATGTTTAAGACTCATCAGGAATAGTAGAAAGGGATTAAAGCTAAGGAACAAATAATTTAAGAAGTGTAAGCACTGAGTTTTGTATATTTACAGATAACTGAAGGAATAACTCCAAAGAAGAAAAAGCAGCAGGTGTGGTAAAGACCGACTGTGATGGAGAACTCGACGGATTAAGGTTAGGTGGTCTGAGAGAGTGCAAGTGCTCCCTAAGTGTCAGCCATTGCCCTTGTATTATTATCATTGTTGCTGTTGCATTAGTTTGTGCTTCTGAAAGAGATTAAACTTTATGGGTAACAGAAATGTTATAAAACCATCTATAGGCAATAGCAAGTCTATGAAAGAGCCCCAGTCGAAATTCTCCCCTCTATGCCAATTACATTTGGTACCAGGCATTAGATTACAACTCGTGTTAAATATAAAGCCATGCTTGGCATATATCCTGGTACACTGAAGATAATGAATAAATTATCACTGGATGAATCGAAGAGGTCAAATATATCCCACTTGAAAGAATAGTGTCTTTCTCTTCTCTGAATCCATTATCCATCAGACACACAGATGCACCTTAATTAAGACAGAGTCCTACGAAGTTATATTAGGTAGTTTTGAGCATCGTGGAGGGCTTCAGATGGCAAAGGGTAGCAAATGATTTAGGAAGTAGGAAAGTTTTGAGGAATATGAATTAATTTGCACTTACGTAAGTTTCCAATACCTAAGAAGGAAGCCATAATTATGTATTTATCATGCTCTCTACACCATAAAAATAAAGTTGTTTTCTTCCTTTTTGCAAATCCTGCTGTATTAGCTTCCTGTTGTTATTGTAGCAGATTATGACTAATTTAGTGACTTAAAATAATACAATTTTATTATCTCACAGCTGTGGACGTTAGAAGTCTAAAACAGGCTTCAGTGAGCTAGCATGAGGGTGTTACAGAAATTATTACTTTCAGGGTCTTTGGAGATAGCTTGTTCATCTTTTTGGTGTGATGGTAAGTCTTGATTGTTAACTTGTTTGGACTGACATGTGTCTAGGAGACTATAAAGTGCATTTCTTCACTCTCTGTGAGGCTGCTCAGAGGGAGGACTACCAAAGGGGGAATGGGAGCAGCACACCCTTAGAGGCTGGGGGCTTGACCTGAATAAAGGGCAAACTACTCATAGCACTCTACTTCCTGGTTGCCATGGTGTGAGTGGTTCTGCTCTACCATTCTCTTCCTGTTGTACACAAAGCTTGCTTCTTTTCAAGTTGTTATGTCAGTTATTTTGTCACAACAGTGAATCTGGACTAACATATCTAGCTTAGAGGCCCACATTCCTGGGCCTCCCCTCCATCTCCTATACAGCAGTGGCCAGGTGAGTCTTCTCATGTCAGCTCTCTGCTTCTTGACTCTTTTACTCCCTTTTCCCTATCAGAGAGCTTGGTAATTATATACTAAACCCACCTGGATGTCCTTGGATAATATCTGACTTTATGGACTGCTAATAAGATCTTAATTTTACCTGTTCTATGTATAACAGTCACACGGATTCCTAAATTAGGCCATGGACATCCTGGGGGTAGGGGGCTTGAAATCTATGGACTAACAAAAGTTAATATGGCATAATAAAAGGCATGGAGAGAAAATTATGCAGCCAATTAGTTAATCATAAAAACCCTGATTAAAAACTCACAACACTGGCTCACGCCTTTAATCCCAGCACTTGGGAGGCAGAGACAGGTGGAGCTCTGTGAGTTTGAGGCCAGCCTGGTTTCCAGAGCGAGTGCCAGGATAGGCTCCAAAGCTACACAGAGAAATCCTGTTTCAAAAAACCAACTCTAGCCCCGGGAATAAGGTTTTTAAATATTCTGTTATGTTAGTGAGATAAACCCAAAAAACAATACAAAACAAAACAAAAAACCTCACAACACTTGGACTTGGAGGATGTAATGATGTATTGGGTGAATGGTACAGCCTTACTCCTTGAGGACAGAAAGCCACTGTGCTTGGACCTTACTTCCAGACTTTGCCAGCCTATTTATGTTTTCATCTGGCTGTTTGTATCCTTCATAATAAAACTGTTATCATAGGGATAGCATTCCTAATGAATCATTCTAATGAATTGTTAAATGTAAATAAGGGTCTTCAGGAACTCTAAAAACTGTATCCAAGTCATACAGAAGCGTGTCCCAGAGACCTCACTTGCAGATGGCATTTGAAATAAAAATCAGTCTTACTAGCAACTTGTCCTTTAATTTGTTGGACTTGATGGCAAATTTCACTAGTAGTGTCAGAAGGGAATTTGATTACAAGATATCTAGCAGGTATCAGGGTTGGTGCTACCAGGTTAGGCCATTATTCTGCCTAGCATACCTGTCTCTATTTTAATCTTGTCATTGATGGGAGAGTAAAAAACATGACCACGACATTTGTAGCATATACCACTAAGAGGTAGGAGTCCTTGAATCAGGGCTGACTTTGTGACTTGCTTTACCAATACAATACAATACAGCAGAAATGACACTAGTGACATCTGGAGAGGTATCCATGAGAGACACTGCCTCTTTAGTATGTAAACAAGCCAGAAACCACATGAATAAAGATATCCAATCATCTAGCCAGATCATTTAAGTAAGATCATCTTAGACTGTCCAGCCCTGGCTTACTGATCTCTGCTTGTTGAGCCCAGCAGAATTGTCCACCCAACTCACTGAATCATGAGGGATAATAAGCTGTGGTTTTCTTAAGCACTACATTTCAGAGTAATTTGTTATGCATCAAGAGATAATTGATGGACAGGCAGTGGTGGTGCATTCCTTTAATCCCAGCACTTGGGAGGCAAAAGCAGGCAGATCTCTGTGAGTTTGAGGCCAACCTGGTCTTCATAGCGAGTTCGAGGCTCTGTAGATCATTGGTCTACAGAGGCTCTGTAGGCCACACAAAGAAACCCTGTCTTGAAAAACAAAACACACACACACACACACACACACACACACACACACGCGCGCGAGAGAGAGAGAGAGAGAGAGAGAGAGAGAGAACTGATGACAGGCTTGGTGGCATACATCTTTAATTCCAGCACTCAGGAGGCAAAGGCTGGTGGATCTCTATGAGTTTGAGGACAGCCTGGTCTACATAGTGAGTTCTAGGCCAGCCAAAGCTAGATAGTCAGACCCTGTCTTGCACATTTAAGCATATGATCAATGTTATTATAATGTTTAATCAGAATCCTACTTTTAAAAGTAGCCATAGTTGGTAAAATTCATAATAGTTTTCAAATGGAGAATTTATACATAGCTTACTCTTGACAGGGCTCATGATAAATTTTAAACAGTGTAGGATGATGAAGGAAGAGAGGTCACTATTAAGTGAAGATCTTGTGAGTCTTTTGGCATAGAAGATCTTACTGGTTGGTGAATAAACCAAAATAAGTAGCACTAAGCACAATAAATACCAAAGTGCTTTTAGATCTGTCTACATGTTCTGATGCTGGTGCCACACTGCACAGAATTGGCATACCTGCGTCTTAGTTATCTGTGCTATTAACTAGTGTGATTATTTCTACTTTACTGCCAGCTTGACTACATTTAGACTCAAGTAGAACACCGACATAAAGTACACTTACTTCTATGTGTGCCTTGGAAGGACAGTTCTATAAAGGAATAACCACTATGGAATGTGGACATCATATTGGCTGGGGGTCTGGATGGAATAAAAGAGGGAAAAGGAGGAAGACAGCTGAGTATCAGCATTCACCTTTCCTCTCTGCTTCTGACTCTTCATGATGTGAACTAGTCTGTAGTACCAACCTTCCCCACCAAGATGGACTGAATCTTCAAAAACAATGAGCCCAAATAAGTCTTTCCTCCTTTCGTTCTTCTGTTGGGTATTCTGCAGGCATGTGGTATATCCATCTATACTTACACACACACACACACACAAAAAAAAAAAAAAAATCTCTGTTGCTCTTGATGTCTAACTTCAGCATTTCACTAGAGGACATCCTCAGTGTGAGTCTGATCCTTAGAATTTTGTTAAATTTACCTTACATGCATACTTTGTTTGTATTTAAAGATAGCTTATGCTCAGTATTCTGTGAAAGTCCTAGTAGGTCAAATTTGACTTCCATATTGTCCAACCAGGATATATTGTATTTGGTCTCATTGTTTTTGAACATTCAGCCCATCTTGGTGGGGAAGGCTTGGTACTGCAGAATAATTTTTATACATACATAAATATGTTCATATATACACATATATGTATGTATTTATATTCACACACTCATATATATATATATATATATATATATGTACACCCAGAGACAATGAAATAAAGAAATATATATTCAAGAACTAAAAAGAAACCATATAAACACGAGTCAAAAGAGAAGTCTGCAAAGTTGTATTATTCATGCAAAGCAGACTTAAAAACAACAAGGAAAGAAAGGGATGTTTCAAACAGAGAACTGGAACAAATAACAGAAAAATGTAATAGTTGTAACATGAATGAATAAAATCCCAAAACATTTAAAGCAAAGATTGAAAGTATATGAGGTACATGAGGAGAGGTAGATAAAGTTACAGCCAATATGGTTTTAAACTCACCTTTCATTAATAAAGATGCTGTAAAGTTGGACAATATGAAAGTCAAACTTGACCTAATGGGCCTTGTACAGAATAAATGAATATAAGCTATCTCTAATAAAAACAAAACATCCATGTAAGATAAATTTAACAAATTTCTAAGGACTGGAGTCACACTGAGGATGTCCTTTGGTGAAATGCTGAAATTAGACATCAAGGGAAACAGAGATAATAGGAAACCTTCATGCTTGAAAATTAAGAAACATACTTCTGAATGATTCATAGGTCAAAATTATGAGGTTAATTAGAAAATACTTTGAACTGAATACACATGCAGTGACATGGACACAACAGTCAATGCAAAACATCATCTGAGGCAGTAACTGAGACTTCTGAAAAGATAAGTGGATTTGCACCAGCACTGAGCAATTGTGTACAGGAAGCAGAAATACCATGAGACACTAAGAACCAACCAGTAAGTGGGAAAGCCCTTTCAGCCTGCTTAGTGATGTAAATCACTGAATAAGGAATCTAGTGGAAATACTTTCTCTATATTTAATCATCATTCTGTCTCAGTTTATAAAATGCCACCTCCTTTCTCACTTATAAATACCAAGACTGACTCAGCCTAAGCCATCCTAAATTTGACAAATTCAGTGTTGTATAAAGGCTAAATTGCCAGAGTTCATAGTGATCTCATTCTCTTTACCTGTCTCCCTAGGTTTTATGTGAAAAATATAATTTCTAAAAGCATGCCAAATTGTGCTCACATTACCTAGAAGGTAATGCATTTACATATACATCTATTTGATCTGCTTTGCATACTGATAGTCAAGGCATATTCAAATTCACTTAACAACTTACTGACCATCTGTTGGTAGCATTTTACAAAGCTATCAAAATGTACATGAAGTAGGACCTATTCTCTGTATTTCAAAGATAGTCCAGGTGAAGAGAGAAGATAGTACACTTGAAACACTGGAGAAATGCCCCATGGAGTACCACTTCTGGGAAACAGACTAGGTAGTACTCACCAGCCTCCTTGATGAAACCCTGAAAGATAGACACTAGAGAAAATACAGGGCGAGGGATACTGATCAAGTGGTAGGAAGACCTCTGGCCCAGATCAGAAGGCATCAGCCTGAAGTGAGTGCAACTGCAAGGCTGCTTCCGGATCCTGGTGCAGACTCTAATCTGTTAGTGAGCTTTGAATGGTGGTGAACACTCAAAAGACATTTTCTGGGTACTGAACTTTAGTTAAGTCATTTTCACTTTGCCTGATTATTAGTCTCTTTAAGCTAATCATTTTTTTTTTGGCTTCTTTTTAGAGATTTGTCTTTGGACCAGGTATGGTGGTTACTCACATGTAATCCCTGCACTTGGGAGCAGATGACAGGAGGACTAGGAGTTCCAGATTATTCTTAGCTGTAGAGAGCTCCAGGACAGCCCAGGCCACATAGTAAGACCTGTCACCCAAACAGTAAAACCAAACACAAAGATGTTTTCTCTTTGATGTTCTGGATGTCACTAGGTGTCACATCAGATTTCCTTTCACTTTCCCAACTTGGGGATCTGCTTGGCTTCCGGATTGCATGCCGTGTGGTGTCTTACAACATTTTTGAATTCTTGGGTAAATTTCTTCAAGTGTTGCTCTGCTAGTCCTCTCCTATATGCCTGAGTACATGCATGTTAGGTGTTTTCATTCTCTCCATGTATCTTAATGTTTCATAGCTCTTTCCAAGTGTAATTCTAAATATTTAAAAATTATTTTCATTATAGGGGAAAGGTATCAATGGCATCCTCTCCACTACTGCCTGGCTTATTAGTTGGGGTCATCCCTGTGAATCCCCTAACATTTTCCCTGTGCCAGACCTCTCTCCAAACCTGTGCTGTCTCCCCGTATCAAGACATCACCTTTCTTGCCCTCCTCTATTCCTCCCTACCTTGGTTACCATTCCTAGAGCCTTCATCCAGTAGCTGTTCGAAGCAGAAACAGGCACCCACAGCTAAGCACTGAACCATTCTTCTGGAATCAAGTTGTGGAGAGGGAGGAGGTATGAGCAAAGGAACCAAGACAGTGCTGCAGAAACCTGAAGAAACAGTTGACCTGACCTAGTGAGAGCATAGAGACCCTAGTCATAAAGCTGGGGAAACAGCATTGGACGAACCAAGCCCCCTGAAGTGAGTGCCAGCTAGAAGGCCAAGACAGCCTATAGGACCTCTAACAGAGGAGTCTTTATACCTAGAGCACAAATGGACTTTGGGAGCCCATTCCCTATGGAGGGATACTATTGCAGCCCAGATACAGCAATGAGGGCCTAGGCCCGAGCCCAAATGATATGGTGGACTTTGAAGGTCCCCTGTCGAGGGCCTCACTATCCCTGGGGAGGAGTTGGGGGTGGGTTGGGGGGTTGGTGGCAAACATGGGAGGAAGGGAGGGCAAGGGAATGGGGGGATGTATATGTAAATATGAGTAGTAATTAAAGAATTAAAAAAGAATAAAATTATTTTCACTATTTTTGTTTAGCTTTATTTCTGTAATTTGTCTAGTTACATATTTTTTCTTATATTTCCAGGCCCCTCCACTTGAGTTATCTTAAATATTTTGTAGTGTGTGTGTGTGTGTGTGTGTGTGTGTATGTGTGTGTGTGTGTGTGTGTGTGTGTGTATTCCCAAGATTTCAGTTCAAGGACTCAGACCTGAATGCCGACTAACCAGAGCTAGACATTTCAATAAACCTCTCAGGTGAACAGGCAGCTTTAAGGCTGTGCTTCCACTCAGTTGATTTCTATATTTACACAGATTCCTTAATGTTACTAGTTCGTGGTTGCATTCAGAAAGTTGATTTTTTAAAAAATGTACTTAATACTTGCATTATCTTTAATAAGCACTGTATTTACTGTGCCTCCCAGAAAGGCAATGTTCATACATACTTTTAGTATCTTTGTGTTCCTCTGTTAAAGTGAGTTGGGTGTCAGCCTCTCTTCCCACCTCCCAAACAGTTGATAGGTGCTAGGTTTATATTATTACTAGGTTGACATTACTAGGTTTATAAACTGTGTCTGTGAAACCATCAGGTCTGATGCTCTTGGTGGAGGTGGAGGGCAGTAGACTTCTGATTAGTAGTAATTCAGAATCCTCAAGGTTACTGCCTTATTCTGACTTTCTATTTCATCTTGAATCAAGTTTAACATGTTCCTCGCAAACTAAAATTTAAAATGTGCTAGCAGCCAGTTATTCATAACATGCTGACCTCTAGTATCAGAGGTTATTACAACCTTTCATTCATCATTTTGGTTTTATTTTAAAATCACTTTTATTAGAGGTTTTGTTTATTTATTAGTTTTTTTATTTCTCCATTATGGCTAATTTCTGTTGTTACATTATTTTCTTCTCTCTTTAGGTTTTCTTTTGAGTTTCTCTTCTGGCTCTTTGAGTTGAACTTACCTACTTTTAGCCAATTTTGTTGTTTTAAAAGGCATACCAAATGGTTCACTTCAATAGCGTCCTACAAATGTTGACAAGTTCTTTGTCAAGCAGTCTCAAATATTTTATGATTTTCATTGTGATATCCTCCTAAATCTGTGACTTATTTAGGAAAGCATTTTATTTTTAGAGTTTCCAAGCATATTAAAATAACTTGCTTTGAGGATGGAGAATGTATCTGTATATATGTTCTTTCAAAATAGTTGCACCATTGTGATCTAGCATGTGGTCAATTCTTGCAAAGTGTCCCATTTATACTAGAAAGGAATACATACTTCCTATTCCCTGGGTACAGAGTTGTTTTAATGTATTAAAAAAGTTCAGAATTTGGTTTTCATAGTTCCTGGGTTTGAGACAGGGTTTTGCTTTGTAGCCAAGTCTGGCCTAGAACTTTCTGTTCAGTGTAAGCAGGCCTTACAGTTGCAATCCTCCCAAGATTACAGATATATATTTATCAGCTTTTGAAAATGATGATTCTTTCACTAGTTAACTGAGTAAATATCCTCCACAAAGCAGTCATCTCTCTCCTGTGTTGCATGCCTTCCTTCTAGGTTCACTCTCTTAACTGGATGAGGCAGGATAAAGATGACATAAAGAGAAAAGTAGAAACGAGAGAGCCAGAGCTGCTGATGGCATTCTAGCCCTTAGTCCCATGCTTCTGGAAATGTAATTATGCAAAAGGATGGACTGTGCTAATGTGCTGCCAGTTGAGGCTAAGGAATAAAGATGGTAAGTGATAGAAAGCTACTGAATAGATGTGTGCTTGTGGCATTTGCCTAATGTAACCATGGTAAAGTATACATGCAAATTAATTCTTTTAGAAGGAAAATAGATTTTTTTTAAAAAGATAATAACAGAGAAGAAAACATACAATAAAATTACCAGAAGAGGAAGATATAAAGAAAAGAGCTAAAAATAACAAGTCCCAGAATGTTGCTAATTTATCAAACCTGTCAACAGAGCAGTTAGGAGCAGAAATCTGTTGAGAGGAAAATAAAACCCGTACTTAAAAATAAAATGGAAAAATAGCCAGACTCAAGTTATCAGACATTAGAATCAAAGTAATAGCAAAAATTAGAAATAATTGTCATTAATCATTTGTGTAGCTCAGCCATTTACAGCAATGTGAAGATAAGATTTATAAGCTAAATTCTTGTTTAAACCCCTTCTGGCCACTTGCTATTCAAACATAACACATGGATGGATGGCACATGATTATAGTTATATTCAACTGTTTCTGACTCCATTCCCTCCTCTCTCTGGCCATGCCCTGCCTTCCAGCACAGGATTCAGTTTATTTTTCCAGGCACGGTATAGTTGAAACCCCAATGGCAGTTTCCCCCTTGCTCTGAAAAGTAGAATAAAGAAAGGAATTCATCGGGGATACAAACAATTGTTTTATACTCATTTTTTTTTAAAGTAGGAATAAAAATTCTATTGTTCACTTTGAATATATACTGTTCAACTTAATTAAGAAAAATTACCTAAAAAGAAAATCACAAATGCATTTGCCACACTGTATGTCAAGAGGGAATCTATGAATTATAAGGGACCTTTAAAAAAACAAAATAATTACCTTTGAAGCAAGGTTGTCTACTAAAGCAATCATAGAATTCTTAAACAAGGTGGCAGCGGTCAGAGGTCGCTTGGTCACTTCTGTAATGCTCAGTTTGCCTTCAGGCCACATATTCTTCAGCACAGGATTTGAACTGAGAAACACAAAAAGAATAGTTCAATGTTGCATTAAATAAGGTGAATAAAAAAGGCCAATAACTCCTGTCAAGCTGTGTCTTGGGAATCACAGTGCACTGCAGAAGGGATTCACAAAGCCTAACTGGAAAAATTGTTGCATCCAGAAAACTATGATCATATAATGACCAATAGTGTACCATAGAAAATTTCCAAACTGTAGCACTTTAAAAAATTCTTTAAAGTGATAGCCATTAAATCACTATATAGATCTCTTGCATAGTTAGTGTGGTTCTTACAATATACATATAAACATGTATCTTATTTTATATAAATACATACATATATATCTGTAAGATGAAGATTTTATAATGGCTAAAAACTGAAGACAAATTGCTAGCAGGAAAATGGTTTTCTGTGTCATGGAAGATAACAGGAAAGTGAGAACATCTTCTAACAGGTAACAAATACACAGCTAGGTGCAATAGCATAGTAGTTCTGATAGTCTCCTAGCAAAGCTGGCTACTAGGGCTGGATTTATGAACACATTCACAGGTAGTGCTAGTGGTTCCAGCACAATATTGACACCACACTAGAGCTACCCTGAGCCAATTCTAAAAATTCACTTCAGGCCAATTCCATGTCGAAACCGCAGATTTGTTATTTGTCTCTGTAGAGATATTTTCTCATAAAAAGCGTGTAGTGCCTTGGATGTGATTTTTTTCCTGATTAATTTGGGTGCTTTGTACTTTAAAGTAGCTGGAAGTAGAAATGCTGCTTCATTGGGGGAACTTTTATCTTACAAATGTGGGGTCAGAAAAATGACAATAATTAACACAGGAATTCATAGTTGATTGTGCTTATTCCTCCATCATTATGCCCACTTTTCTTTCCCTTGTGGAAAACTGAGTTGGTTTCTGAAAGTGTGCAGTAAATTTCTGTCTCACACTTGCTCAAAGTAATCACTGTGAAATGGAGCAATGGATGCTGCCAGAGGGCAGAAGTGGAGATATGGGTCTGTGAGCCCAGACAGGACAACACTTCTAATTACACCACTGTGTAGGACCAACTATCATCAAAAGAGTCAAGAAAACAACATGATGCTCTCTTTGGTTTGTGACAGTCTGACCACTGTAAAGTTCTATTCCATCATTTACAGTCATACCCTTATAAAAATGGCCACATAAAAGCACACCGTTTTCCTTCCTTTTAGCTGAGAAGTAATTCAAACGATGGCCCTTCACTTCTGGCATACAGGGTTTCTACAATGCCTTTCAATCACCTTTTAAACAGAACTCCCAGAGGCAGAAAACTGTGCTGTGTGTACTTTGAGAATTCTTACATGTGCCAGAAAAATGAGGATCATTATTGTTTGTATCTGTGCAGTTTCTAATCCAAATTCTTCCTCTATCTTATTCACTGTTGGCTGTAACTAGAAACTATTCTCCTATTATGTTGTAAGTGGAAGGAAGGAGGAAGACTGAAAGTAGATTATATATCACATTAGAAATGATATAAAAAGAATCTAAACAGAGTCATTTTAAAAGAGAATTTTCAGGCCAGAAAGTCATGAACACACTATTATCCAAACAATTTTTTAGATATTTTAAATACTTGGATATTTTTCTTTTCTCTTTTAGATTTACTTTTATTTATGTGACTGTGTGTGTGTGTCTGTGTGAGTGTATATGTTATGCATGTGCAGATGGCAGTAGAAGTCAGAAGAGGGTGCCATATCCTTTGGAACTGAAGTTACAAGCAGTTGTGAGCTACCATGGCTGCTGGGAACCAAACTAGGGTCCTCTGGAGGAGCAGCTAGCTTTCTAGCCCCTAGAATCTAATTTAAAAAGAGAGAGAGAGAGAGAAACAAAACAAGAAATCCAGCATCTATAAAAGGTAAGGAAGATCTTGGCTGAGCAACAAGAGAATGAGTAAAAGTTCATGAACTTGGCAGGCCACCCACCTGCCCCATTCTTCCATTTACAGACCATGTGCACATAAGTGGACATACACATCATTCCTGTGGGTAGATGCAATTGTTGGGCTCTAGAACTAAAGATCCTACAGAGTGAGTTCCAGGACAGCAAAGGTTACACAGAGAAACTCTGTCTTGAAAAACAAAAAACAAAACAAAAAACCCCTAGCAATCCAAGAGTAACATTAACCTATACAAAACAAAAACAAAAAAAGATGCTATCAGATTTTGAGAAGTTGGTCAGCCATAGAAACATCAAAAAGTGTTCATCAGTAAAGGTGTCTCATCTAAATGCCATCTCACTGCAAGGTCTTCCCCATTACCAAGACATAAGCATTAAGCAACAGTGAGCAGACATTTAATCTTTTTACTGCTTTGGAAGATGATAAAATGGATTCACCTTGCCCCAGCCCAGTACCATTAAGTGTTAGTTTATCTAAATTCCTTTGTTCTAACTCTGTGCTTACCAAGCACCAAACAGACTGGCTTCTATGGGTAATATTTTTCATTGTCAATTAGTAAGCAAGTTTCCACTGCTGTTTGGCTTCTCATGCAGGTTTTTCCAATAGAGAAAACAGCCTGTTATACCAATGCAAGTAGTACACTCTATGTGACTATTCGATATTTCAGGAACTATATCCATGTGTTACTTCATTTCTATCCTGGTCCTGTGCTCCTAGGCTATATTAGTCTGCTTCTGAGCAGTGGTGCTCTGTCAACTGATTCTCCTGGCCATGATAAATGCACTTCTACTCTTAACCTCTCACCCACTTTTTCGGAAAGTTAGTTTATTATTGGAAAAAGAGCATTTTCTAAACTGGTTTCCCAGCTGTATCTCAGAGCACAGAAGGATATGTGGCTCAAGAGTATAAAATATACTTTTGTAGTCTACTGAGCAAATACTTAGACCTAAATGAGTGAACAAGTTCTCTAACATACAGGATGATGGCCAAGAAACATCTTCTGTCTTCCTGAACCTTCTCTCCACACTGATGAACTCCACTGTTCATCCCTTGCCTGTTTTTGTTCTGTATAGATTTTTGTCTTTGGGTAGTTTATGAGGAACTTCTCCAGCTCAGTGAGGACCAGGATTCATTGATGCTAGGTGTTAGTCTGACAACAGAGTGGCTCATACCTGGAGGTAAAACTCTGTGGATGGGAATTTGTGTTTGTAACAGTTTTAGGTGCACTAGAGGTTACTTGATACTTGTCACCTCTGGCCTGGCTTGGGGATCACTGAGCATATTGGTATTGGATTGGTGGCAGTGAAAAGAGAAACAATCCAAGGAGAATTAAGGCAAATCTTACTGGTAGTGGCCCCTGTACCAAGTCTACAGATTTTGTAATCCCAAGGTCATATACATTTTCATTCATTAAGCATAACAATGCAGCCAGGCGTTGATGGCACACGCCTTTAATACCAGCCCTCGGGAGGCAGAGGCAGAGGCAGGTGGATTTCTGTGAGTTCAAGGCCACTTTGGTCTACAGAGCGAGTGACAGGATAGGCTCCAAAGCTACACAGAGAAACCCTGTTTTGAAAAACAAAACAAAAAAGCATAACAATGCAGAAAAGCTGCTAAAAACTCTTCAAATTGTCACATAAAAGTAATCATTGCACACACATATCCTATGCAACTTATGTCAAAGAATTTAAGGTAAAGGTAATAAACAATCATACCTGTTATACATGAGACGTTTGAAATCTTGAAACAAAGTATCTTTATTTTTGTCAATAAATCCAATGGCAGAATAGCTGGAGAGAAAACAGAAAGCATGTATCATTACCACATAGACCACACTCAAGCTTCTCTAGTTCACAGGCCTTTCTGCTATCAGTTTTGCAATCAAACTTCTAAAAGCCAGTCCACTTAGCTTTACACAGTAAATAAAAGGGACTCTGCTTCTCCCCTTCAGAAAAAAAGTGGACACCAGTCCCATCGTACTGAGTAGGAACATCGTTTTCTACTGGCTATTGCTTACCTCAAGAAGATGACTTCAAAATAGATAGTTGTATTTATCATCCAGCATGCCTAAGATAAAAGCAAAACAGCAACATACAGGAACTAATTGTCTCATCCGTGGGGAGGTCAAGTGGCTTGCCTAAGTACCACTCAGTGTGCAGGGTATAAAAGAGTCCAAGGAGAACTGCAAAGGATGGTAAGAAGTGGATAAGCAGGAGAAAAGGATCATGTAGGGCAACAGGAATAATAAAGGGCTGGAAGCAGGCACATGCAGGAGCATCACAGTGAAATGAGCCCACTATTCACAGTCTGGAGGAAGGCAGAAAGTAAGGCTTTGAAATTCCAGCTAAGATGGCAGCTGGTGAGAAGAGCACAAGGCAGGGGAATTGTACTGCTGCAGTGTCTGGAGAGGCCTCTACCAGGATTCACTCTGTGCTCAAGTAAAAGAGTAACTGGGGTTCTGGGTGACTAAGTGTAGGCTAGGTGACTGTGCAAAGAATAACTACATGCAGCCCCTCCTTAGCAGTTTTTGCTCTCTTGCCTGTCTCCATTTTCTCAGGCTTCTTACTCTAATCTTTTACTTTATATATATTTAATTTTGCAAAACAAAATAGTCCAGATGTGCTGTCCACAGGGATTTTAAGGTCACCACATTAAAAATTATTTTGTTGCCTTCCTAACCCAGGTCTTCTTCCCAATATCACCCTGTCATTTAACTGAACATTTGAAATCACCCTACTCCTAATCTATTGTTAAATCCACACAAACTGAATTTCAAAGACCACAGTATAGTGTTCAAGTCTTACTGTGATTTGATCTCAGTCTACTTTTCCAGGCATTTCTAATCTGTACTATAGAAAGGATACACCCCTGCTACTTCCTGAATATTTTTTCACCACCCTTCCCACTTCTTCCTATAAAAATAATTCCTAGCACCCGAGCCCAGCAGCATCAGCCTCCTGGGGCTTACCACAACACCTAAAAATATTATAGTGTTTTCTTATTCAGAGTTTGTCACAACACTTGCTATGACTCATATGGTGATTAATATAACCATCTTTTCTTATGTACACATATGTATATGTACATGTGTGTGTATATATATGTGTATATATATGTATGCATATATATATGCTTAAATATACATTTAACCATGTGTGTGTGTTTTTTGTGTGCGTGTGTGTGTGTGTGTGTGTGTGTGTGTGCGCGCGCGCGCGCGCGTGAGATACCATGCCCTATAAAGTACTGTACATATAGAAGGTAATCTATAAAAACCTACAAGAGGACTGAAAGGCTAAAGTGAATGCCAGCTGGGACTCTGGACCAGGAGCCTGGAAACCTAGTTGCTGCCTCAGTTCTTCCATAAACATGGTATGAGGCTTTGGATCAGATGTCTGCTCACTCTGTAGAAGCTGATTCCTCTGTAAAACAGGTGGACTTGGGGGCATAGGCCTCTGTCCAGCTCTGCATTCACACCACCCTGATTGTCAGAAAATAGTCTGTAAGTGAGGCTTGGGCTTCTTTTAGTGGGAGGCATCTGAGTGGTACTTGTCTTTTCTACTCAGTGCTCTAGAATCTGGGTACAGGACCTAATGGTGGGATATGGTGACATCTTGCAAATGATGGCTAGTTTGACATTGGGTAGTAATTTTGAACCGTATTATTTTATGATTCTAGAATATTAATTTTGTCAGAGGTAGACATTAAAGTTTCTTCAAATGTCTTTTCAGCATTTATAAATATAATCACTTGTTTTGTCTTGATTAATCTCTACCTGTAAAGGGTTACTTGGGAAGAATCCCTAAAATAATGAATAAAGAAAAAGGTAGAGTTCTTTAAACAATAAGGTAAGAAACAGGGAGGGCTTAATGAAGAGTGAATGCATAACAAATACAGCAGCTGAAAAATGACCTATAACAAGTGACAACCACATCAGCCTTCCTGTAACCTGGGAATGCTGTCTTCTGTGGTAAAGGGATGTGACTCTGCTAAGGGTCCCAAAAGAAGGAAATACTCCAATAGAAGACTGGGGTGGGGAGCAGAAATGTCACCAAATTCTGTTAACATGGACGAAAGGGGTTAACCCTCAGAATGGAGCAAAGTACCAGGGAGGCAGCCATAGGGGTAGAGCCACAAGCCAAGGAATGACCATAGCATCAAAAGGTGAAAAAGGGGGCAGATTATCCCTAAGAGAAGCCTCCAGAAAAGGTGTGGCTCTGCCATAGTCTGATTTTGAACTTCCTGCTCCCTAAATTATGAGACTACTGAAAACATAAACTTCTGCTTCTGTATTTGATTTTGTGGTGCTGAGAGTCTCACCTATGCCAGACAAGCATTTTACCACTAAGCTATACCCCAGCCAATGCAGCTGTGGTTTTAAGTTACTGGTTTTGATAGTTTGTTACAGGAGCACTGACACCTAACATACCAAGGTAGTTTTCACACTGCTTGGTATTTTCATGTCAACTGTAAGACAATAGAAAAAAATGCAGCTTGTAAGAATTCTATTTCTCAAACACTATCTGACAATAATATAGTAAAACTTCTTTTGCTGTGTAGCTGTTTGTAGTCCTGCACACACTGGGTGTCCTGTAGTTTCCCCGCCCTCACTCTCTCTTGTCTCCAGGCTTTCACTGAACTTGCTTGCATACTGCTTCCTCCAGTAAGACTTCTCCAGACTCCTCATTGCTTCCATAACTCCATGTGCCTCTCCAGCTTAGTCCTTTCCTCCCTTCCTGTGACTTATATGTATCTACTTGTATTCACTAACCTGCTGGCTTCTTATGGGTAGGACCCATCATATCCATGTGTCTAACATAGACTCTAACATGTTTCCAAGGTTTATTGATACAGTGGTCCCTTTTTACTGAGTTCCAAACACACACGGAAGTATACATGGTCACACAACATATGCTCTAACTAAATGTCTTAGAACAAGGAAAAAATGAAACTATGCAATTTTTTCAAATCAAGAGACTAAATTATGCTGATCTATAAAATAATCCCTCCCCCCAAATAAAGCCCCACACATGTGAAAAGAAAAACAACCAACAGTATCCCAGTCCCATTTTCCAAAGTAAGGCTGCATGCAAATCATCATGCTAGGCACCAGAGTAAGATACTCACACCACATCACCTGCATAATGCCGGATTCGAAAGTCCCGATCAAACTCCAGAATTTTATCTGAGGCACAGGTCTAAGAGATAAAGAAGGACATAAACTTGAAAAACTGACATTTTCAACTCCTAAAAATACATTCCAACTTAATATGACCAAACATTACAAATCATGATATCTAAATAAATTAACATTCCTTGGGGTCTGATTAATTACATGGCTGACAAGGTAAAGGCTTTTGACAGAAACCCACATAGCACATAACACACAGCTGGCCAAATGGACAGGTATGGACAACGGATGTGAAATGAGGCTATTCCATGCCCAGTGTGGTCAGAGTTTGATGAATGATGCCCTTTACTTAGTTGGATGTAAAGGATGGTCCCTAGCAGGTGGGCCAGTCAGACAATGGAAGGAGTATGGCTCTCTGAGAAACAGACATGCAATGTCTTCTGATACTTAAATTCTTCTCTTCCATGCTCCACTTCGGAGGACCACTTACTATCTGTAAGGCAGATACTTCACAGTTCTCCTTCACATACATGGAGACTGAAGCTCAGTGAGGTAGGCAGTTGCCACTACATCACATTGCTAGTAAGTGGTAGCCATGGAAAGGCTCTAGAAAACAGGAAGGAACATGTCTTCGTGAACATAGTGGCTTGGCTCATCTGCCTGCTGAGGCCAGAAGAGGGCTTCAGATGTCCTGGATGGGTAGTTAAGGCAGTTGTGCGCTGCCTGACATGGGTGTTAAGAACTGAACTCTGGTCCTCTGCAAGGCCAGAGTGCACTCTTAACTGTTCAGCCCTCTCTCTAGCCTACCTGCCCCGCCCCCATTGCCCTTTTGAAAAATCTTTTAATTTGTAAAATTCTTGAAAAAAAAAGACTCAAATTACATGCCATTCTTATATGTGGGTAAACGGCAAAGCTGTGATTTTCCTCAACACAAAAAACATTTTACTATAACTTATTACTTAGCTTTTGGTTGCTTGGATCATGTGACTGTCTTTCCTTGGTGTCTTTAATGCAAAAGGAAGATTTTTATCCCCAAATAAAAGCCACCAATTTTTTATTTTATAAGCCAGTAACTCTGCCTGGTCAATTAGCAATAGCAAATGATACCTGGCTCAACATACAACCCAATAGCATTATCTAACAAAAAAGTTGTGTAGTGACTTAAATATTCCAACAGCTGGACTATGTAATTTCTTTCTTTTATTAGGCAAAATTCCTTAAAAAGTGGAGCTGTGGAGATGACTTGGCTGCTGAAGTGCTTGCTACACAAACATGAGGACTTGATTTGGATCTCCAGCAATCACATAGAAGTTGGGTACAGTGATGTCTGTAGCCCCAGAGCTGGTAGGGAAGAGACAGAAGGTTACCTGAAGTTTGCTGGACAGCCAGTATAGGCTCAGTGAGAGACCTTGTCTCAAAAAATAAACTAGGCTGGGCGGTGGTGGTGCATGCCTTTAATCCCAGCACTCGGGAGGCAGAGGCAGGTGGATCTCTGTGAGTTCGAGACCAGCCTGGTCTACAAGAGCTAGTTCCAGGCCAGCCTCCGAAGCCACAGAGAAACCCTGGCTCGAAAAACCAAACCAAAACAAACCAAAACAAAACAAAAACAAAAAAACTCCCAAAACTAGAAGGCCAGTGGGATGGCTCAGTGGGTAAAAGTGCTTGACACCAAGTCTGAGTTAAATTCTTAGAAATTACATGGTGGAGAAAACCAACTCCTGCAAGTTGTCTTCTGATTTCAACATGTGTGCCAAGGCAGGCATGTACATGTGCAATGCGAATTCATAAATCAATAAATGTAAGGTAATGTAATTTTTTTTAAAGTTGAAGAGTAATAACCTTGTTTCAAGTCCCAGCATCCACATGGCAGCTTACAACTGGCTATAACTCCAGCCCAACAGCATCTGATGCTTTCTCCTGGCTTTTGAGGGCATTGCATGCACATGGTACACATACATGCAGACAAAATACTCATATACAGAAAATAAAATGAAAAAGATTATTATTTTCTTATATTATTAATTTCTCTTGTTAATTGTGGAATTTCTTTGTTCCGATTACATAACTCCAAAGGGGACATAGTTAGGAAGTAGATTTATTCATGAGACAGTGGCAATGTGCTACAGATTTACAGAGGAACAGAAGTGCCTGCCCATTTCTTTCTGGATGTGAAGGAACAGGGCCTGCTTTCCTGGCAGTGTCTGGTTACTAGACAAGTTTGCATTTGTGGGGAAGACTGGAGTGATGACACCTAAACAAACATGAGTGACAAACAAACATAACTACACACAAGGTCTAGAACAAAAATCTGATAACCACAACTTCCACTAATTATACAAATGTGGTTTATTTGTGACATTTCTAGATTGTAAAAAATGGAGAGTTGGAAGGATAGCCAATACACTGAATGAATGTATTTCTTCTTAATAACAAGGACTACAGCTAGGATTTCTCACTTTTAGGCAAGTCACAGGGTCTAAAGAATGCAGCGCACACTCCGTATTTTGTAACTGAAGATTACGGTGAAAAGTCAAGGACAAAAGCAATTTCTTATGCCAGAATTATCAGATGCAGGCATAAAATTCTAGCACATGAACAAGGACTCAGCACCCATTGGTTGTAAATGACATCATGCTTTCTAAAGAATCTTGTTCATTTTTCCTGCATCTAGCAAATTCCACAGTCTGTAGCTCCCTCTCCTGGATACTATGATTTTTGTCAGAGACGCAGAACTCACCCATAGCAATATATCATTTACCAACATTCATGCCTTTCCCCCTTATTTCAGCATATATTCTTTTAACCTAATGTAAAGCAATTGCCCTGTTAAACAACAAACAAAAATCTTATAGCACATTATTACCTTTCGGCTGGAAAAATGGCCATGTTTGCCCAATTTATTGTTCAGAGCCTCAAGGAACATTCCGTCGGTGACTTTGCCAACATTCATACAAGCGTCATCCAGGATTGCAATGATGCCTTTGTGCTGCTGCTCCACGAGGTCCACAATGATCTGGTTGTTGAAGTAATCAATCTGTGGGACAAGCAAGAAAGCAATGCCCAAGAGAACTGGGAACCTCTGGGGGCAAGACACACAGGTGTCTCCTTTCGATTCACAAACTTGTGCAGTACCTCAATGCCAAAAAGGCAGACAGGATTAGTGAGGTCAAGTCCAGATGAGCACACATTTTAATAGAAGTTCCCGACTTACTCTCTGCATTCTCCTTATGCCATCTAGGAAGCACCAGGGATGACTATGGACTGAGGCAAATGTGATTAATTCTTGTCTTCCCGTCTTCCACTCCTACACCCAATCCCACTCCTTCATTCTGCAAGTCCCTAATCTGTTTGCCATTAATCATGAAACAGTTTCTACTAAGTGCCAGCAGATAACCTGAAAAATCATTTGATCTTCTTCTGATAATGAAGTCAAAGTACTCCACAGACTCTGCAGTTCTACTCAGGTGACATGCATTGACAAAAATCCAAAAGAGAATTTCCTCTAGTTTCCCCAAAGTTAAAAAGCATCTGAATCTAACACTTTTGAAACTTTTCTGGGAATAACAATTTTAAAAAATTAACTGACACGTAAGTATATATAAAAGATAAAAATAAGCTTTCTATTTGTTTTCAAGAAACAAATGAAGCTAAGAATTTTGGATTTTTAGCAACTGCAGTGTGTACAAGATGTAGACAGAAATCTACCACTTTCTTGTTCTGATGGACTGCATAGAAACAGCTTTCACAGGTCTCTCTCAGGCAAGCTGTACGTCACAAAGGTGAGTCACTAGTGAGCAAACATTTCTGTACTGTGTGCTGATGTGTCCCATCTCATGTCAGAGGCACCTAATTAAGCATCATCTATTTCCAATGCCTCTTGAAAGCTCTATGGACTCACAGCAGACCACAAAATGTGTCTTGTGGACTCCAGCTTCAGGCTTTCATATCTGCAGGCCTATACCAGTTGTTTACTGTGGCTTTCAGCTCCCTATCTAGTCTTTTGTGTTCTTTTCTGAATTTCCTTTGGAACAAAAGCCTAAAAACGGAGTGTCATAATCACCCTTAACCCCCAGACTTTTTTTCTTTTACACCTTTCTGGTTTGTCTGAATCACTGATTCTGAACTGAGGTTAATTTTTTCTGTGTGGACATTTAGTAATGTCAGTAGACAGTTTTCATTGTCATGGCTGGGGAATGCTACAGGTGTCCAGGGGTCAAGATCAGGATGCTGCTAAACCCTCTAATTTGTAGGATGGCTCCACTGCAAAAATTACCTAGTCCATAACTTCAATGGGGTGGAGAGACCTGCTTATGCTTATTGTGGGGAGTTACTGTGTTTTCTGTCAGGGAGAAAAATTATTTCTACGTTTAGAAAAACATCCTAAAATACAAATTCAGGAATCTAATTACCAGGTAACATTTCAGACATTAGGACTATGAAAAGTAAGTTCTTTCTTTCTTTTTTTAAGATTTCTTTATTTATTTTGAATACAGTGTTCTGTGTTGTGTGCACATATGCCTGCATGCCAGAAGAGGGAATCAGATCTTACTACGGATGGTTGTGAGCCATCATGTGGTTGCTGGGAATTGAACTCAGGACCTCTGGAAGAGCAGTCAGTGCTCTTAACCCCTGAGCCATCTCTCCAGCCCTGAAACATAAGTTCTAATGTACTTAAAATCCCAACTGTATTCCTAGAAGCCACTGATCTTTGCTGAAGATTCTAGTAACTCTTGATTTTAAGTGTAATGGTGTTTCAAGCATTGTTTAAAGAATTTTTTGTTTGTTTGTTTTTTTGTTTTTTTAAAATCAGGTTCCTCTGGTAACCTGGAATGCCCATGAGTTTTGTTTTTTTTTGTTTTTTTTTTGTTTTTTTTTTTTTTTTTTTTTTTTTTAATAAGGCATGCAGGGAGATGGGAGAGATGTGACAGGACGGTTTATGAGTATGGAGGGTCTGTGTCACATCATCACTCCAAATACAAACACTTTTGATAGGGCTTCCTTGACTATGCCTATGGAATATGAATAACAAACTTTATAATTAAATTTATCATAAAATCTAAACCAGCTATATTATGTCTATATAAAACACACAGTATATACAATACATTGTTAGAAAGCTTCACATAAACAATTGAATTGCATTTTAACTTTATGAGAGTTCACTAGAGTATCAAGTTCTCAACAGTTAAAATGATTTGTAGGGGCTCCAGAAGTGGCTCAGCGCTGAAGACAACATACTGCTCTTGCAGAGATACCTGATTTAGTTCCCAGCACTCACACCAGATGGCTCACAACCACGTAACTATAGTTCCAGGGATCCAATACCCTCTTCTGGCCTCCATGGAACCTGTAACCATGTGGTGCACATACATATAAGCATGCACACGCGTGCGTGCGCTCCTACACACACACACACACACACAAAACATAGAAATTAAAAATATATTATTTATAGCTGGGTATTGGTGGCGCATGCCTTTAATCCAGCACTCAGAAGGCAGAGGCAGGTGGATCTCTGTGAGTTTGAGGCCAGCTTGGTCTCCAGAGCAAGTGCCAGGTTAGGCTCCAAAGCTACACAGAGAAACCCTGTCTCGAAAAACCAATATATATAATTTATAAACTTTTAGCAAATGAATCAGAGGGGTAATCAGATTTTATGAACTCCTGATACGCATTCACATACAGGCCATGAAACAGGCTGTGGAGAAAAACTAATTCTGAACCGGGTCAACACACTAGATCTAATCTCCAATACACAGACTGTATAGGTACATAGAAGTATGTTAATGACACTTCAGGAATTGAATTAGCATAATTTGGGCTGCCACTTAGTTTACAGAGCAGAGGAGAAAACCAAGGGAAGAACAAGAACAACTGGGTCTAGAAGTTAAGTTCATTTAATTTAAGTCAAAAGAGTGAACTTCCAGTGATGCTAGACTAATAGAAAAAGCAAACAAAAACCACCCAGGAAGCCATGTGGCATAATCTACACAGCTGATGTGAGGCTTAAGGCTGTACTGAGCATGTCCTGGGCATCAACAAGGCAGGCTATCAGATTAGAGGAATCACACCAACTGGACTAGCATGACTGGACTAGTATATTTCAAGGAGGAAGGCTAGGGTTCAGGTGGTTCAAGAACCCAAGAAGGTCAAGGGGAATGCAAGGTGGGCAACACAGGGATACACCCCCCCCATGAGGGCACTCACGTGTTTCCAAGGGATGCCTTCCCGCTGGTACTCTTCTTGCTCCTGCTTCAGAACCAGCTGAATAAACAGCTGCTGCAGTTTCTCATTGCAGTAGTTAATGCAGAATTGTTCAAAGCTACACAAGATGGAATATGTTAGGCTTAAATACTCAAAAAAAATAAACAACAGGGTTTTAAGTATCTTACCCAGTTTACCTGTTATTGTCAAAGATTTCAAAGCCATAGATATCCAAGACACCAATAACAGTGTTTTTCCCGTGGATTGTGGTGTCATAGTTCTTGACCTCAATAATGTCATTGATGCGACTAACAATCCAACAAAAAAGGCGCTCATATATTGCCTGTGAGAGAAAGAACAACATAAATTCTTGACTGTTTGGGAATGAGTCCTTCTGTTTGGACTTGGGATGTCTTCAATCCCTTCCTCTTACTATTTAGCACATGTGTTATTGCCTAAGTGGAACAATTAGACATGTATATCACTATTACAGAAACAGCTACATGATGGATGCCAAAGCAAGCAATCTGTTTTTTTTTTAATAGGTTATTGGCTACTGTTCGTATTTTAAGACTTCTCCAGGCATGTGCACATGCCTTACTGTATCAGTGATACATCTGCTCTTCTCACCTCTGAAAACTCTTCTACCAACTTTGAGCTATAAGTAAATGGCCATGGGTACTCAGGAATTTATTCATTCATTCACCAAATATTTGCTGAGCACTTAGATGTATAGTTTATTGGATATACAGCACTAAGTACACAGAAAGACATAGTCTTGAGGAGTAGAGCATTAGGATGAAGTGTCTGACGTGATTTTAAAAATTATGTGTGTCTATATGTGGGTGAAGGTGGGTGCCCTTAGAAGTGTTTGTTTTCCTGGTGCTGGATTTACAGGTAGTTTGTTAAGCTGCCCAGATGGGTGGTGGGAATTGAACTTGGGTTCTATGCATGAGTAGTATATGTGTTTAATTGCTGAGCTATCTCTCCAGCACCCCCCACTCGAAGTGGCTTTAATTTATTCTGTGCTCAGGCAACCCAGAGCAGCTTCTCAGAAGAGACACTTGGGCTGAGCCATCAGGATGCCTAAACAGAGCAAGATAGGAAGAGAAAACACAGAGGAAAACATGTGCAGAGGCCCTGTAGATAGAAGCAGAAAGGCATGAAGTACTCATGAGGCTTAAGAAAAGATGCATATGTTGAAATAAGTAAAAGTGGCTGAAGATACCAGGGCATGAGGCAGGGGAGGTAATGTGGTGCCAGACCTGCTGAGGTAGAAGCTTCGACTTCCTCATTCCCACAGTTGGTCTAGTTTGCTTTTCCAGCAGTGATACCCACAGCCAGGAGCTTTACTGAGACAATGATGGTCAGAAAGTCTGAGTTTCTGAAAGCCCTTAGCCCACTGTTAGGGATGTCTGAACACATTCTCACAGGATTCACTTAGGCTGCAGCCCACAGATCAAGTTCAGTCTCACCTTGGCAAAGGCATCTCTGCCGTAGCTAGCTTCCTGTTCCGTGTGCTGTTTGTCGATGACGTCTCGGCCTGTGGCCACTGTCCTGGAAAGAAGGGTTTTCTCCACTATGTCTGTCTTAGTAGAAAGCAAGTCTGCTATGACAGACACAACCTTGCCATTCTCAATGAGTGGCGTGTCACCATCTACTATAAATTTTAAATTCCCCTATATAAAAAAATGAAAACAAAAGACACCATTTCCAGTGAGCTTCTGACGTATCATGAATTAGAGTACCTTTGCTTGTGCCTACCTTCCTAAATATTCACATCATATGTGAAAGCGTAGCACTTTTCCTCTTTTCCATATGTGTGACTATACTTCCATCTTAGCATACATTATTGATAGAGGGTCTATATTTGTAAGTAGTCATATTTACAAATACTTTTTGTTATTCTGGTCTGGTTGGCTGTGCCTTGGAGGCCACTTCAACTATCTGTTTCATAAGTCATCAGTAGTAGGCTTGTGCTGAGTTCAAGGTCTGAGGATATCACAATACAATGAACTGAGCAGTCTCCAAACCTATAGTGGCTTGGAAAACTCCTCAAAATATAAAATGATGAAGAAAATCAGAGTACAGTTTTCAGAACACAAAGCAAAATTTTCACAAAATAAATTATTTTTGACAAAGAACAAAATCTTCTGGAAGAGTAAGTTTCCACAGGAATACAATGTACTTGGAGAGTCCTTACTCACCAAGTGAAGAATAGCAGCCAAAATTTTATACACTGTTTGAATCTCCTCAGGTTTGAATCCGATTACTTTCATGGCATCGGCTACAACTTTGAACTCTGCAGCATCATTGATGGAAGACTAGACAGGAACATGAAAATCTTAAGTCACAGACATTTCACATGAGCATTAATTATGAGACAGAAGTGTTTAGCCAAAGTCTTGATGCCTTTGTAGTAAGTCACTTTGAGGGAATTAAGTATTAAAAAATTACTTTGTGGTAGAAACATTGTTAAGATATATGAGACCTATTTGTGTGTGAGAGCTGTCACTTAAAATAAGCACCATGCACCTTTCTGGAAAGCTGGCTCACAGAAAATCACAGCTCTATTGTTTCATGGAGGCAACAGAATGGGGTGTGAGGTCAAACATGAAAATGTTGAATGTGGGAAGTTCTTAAGTCCATGGTTGGTTACTGCATTTGCAGTTCTCCCACAGGTCCACTTGTGTAGGCTGGCAACAGCTCTCACACTGTGTTATCAGGCTTCTTATTCCCCAGATGAAGAAAAGTAGCACACTCTTAGAAAACTTTAAACGGTGGCATAACCTAAATGCCAAATAATAGAAAATTAACTACAAAACCTAAGTATCATTTATTTCTAGGAATAGCAACAAAAATATTGTTAAGCCAGTTATGAGGGTATAACTAGCTTAAGTGGAATAATAATTTAAATAAAAAACACTTCCCACATACTTTTCTGACAGAGATCTTTTTATGCTTCACCCAACTAAAATCACGAGTGCTTTCTATTGTTTGAGCTGGATCTGGCTGTATGGCCCACCTGGATTCAGCATCTTCCTGTCTCGCCTTTTGGATACTGAGGTTATGTGCATGTGCCACTGTACCCTGCTAGCAGTTCACTTTTTATTACAGAAAAGTTAAAAATACAGAAAAGTAGGGTCCAATCATGCATACTCTTACCCTTCTGGAAGCAACACTTAAAACTGTGACCCAAGCCTTCCATAGCTTCTGCATTTCTACATCCCACTTCCAGCAAACTAGGACCACCACACTTACTTCTTTATACACTCTCATCAATCACCACATTGTTAAACTGGACATGAGATGACTAGAAGAAAAGAAATTTAAACAGGGGCAAAAAGGGGCCTGCAGATGTGCAAGCAAGGGCTTGCATGCAAGGGAAGGGAAAACATGGTCCTTTTAAAAGATGAATACAAAGAAAACCTAAGGGCCACAAAACTATTTCTAGGATAATTACAACCAATATTTAAAAATAGTGGGAAGCTGGATGGTGGTGGTATACTCATTTAATCCCAACACTGGGGAGGCAGAGACAGGGGATCTCTGATTTTTGAGGCCAGCCTGGTCTACAGAGCAAGTTCCAGGACAGCCAGGGCTGCTCAGAGAAACCCTGTTTTGAAAAATAAGAGAGAGAGAGAGAGAGAGAGAGAGAGAGAGAGAGAGAGAGAAAGAGAGAGAGAGAAAGTCAAGCTTTTTAATTTTGTCATAGCAACATGCCTTTGACCAAATCACACCAACTCTTATGAGGAAGGCTTTCTAGTCCTCGTTGTTTTACGGTTTCAGATACATGAAGTTAGATCAAATATGAAGAGAAAACTCTGAACATAGGGAAAGGAACTTCTCTGTTAGATGAGGACAAGATAGCCATACTAGATTATTTAGTCAGGTGTTCAGTTCAGTGGTGGGATAAATTTCGGACGGAGATTTTTAAAAGCAGAACAGAGGACATTCATCTGCCTGAGGGCAGCAGAGGGGCTGGGTGAGCAGCTTGTGTTCCTTCTGCCTCTTCTCCAATCTCGAAGAAGAAACTTACCTTCAGCTGTGCCCCCACATGGATGTAGTTGTAGGATGAAAGGGATTTCTGCAGTTGTAGAGAGTGCAGCAACTGCTCAGAACCTCCCTGGAGCAGCTGGAAAACATTCAATTTAAATTAAATTGCTGTGTTGGCTAATCAGAGTTGTTAGCTTGACTGCATTTAGAACCAACTGAAAGGTGGGCAGCTTTGGGTGGCAGCTTTGCTTTTCGTCTTTGAATCTTGCAGGTCAACTCATCCACTTTGTTGCTGCTGCAACCATAACCACTGCAACTACATTCCTTTGCTTACATGAAACTCAGTTTCTTCAAGCTTCCAAGGAAGACCAGCAGTTCCAGGAATTTTCAGACCTTCAGCACCAGACTGCCCTGTTGAGGCACCCAGCCTCAGGGGCTGAGCAGCTACTGTGTTCTCAGCCTCTCCAGTCTCCAGCACAAAGACACCATTGCTGGACTACCCAGATAGCATCGTGTAAGCCAATCTAATAAATACTGTTTTAGCAAATATTCATTCTTTTGGTTCTGTCCCCCTAGGGTTCCTGCTGACTAATCGAACTGTTAAAGCAAATACTGACCTCCCAGATGTCAAATATTATAACTTAATGGTGATCTAGTTCCTACCCATTTTCTGGGTCTTACACATTTATGTCCTTTGTCACATGCTTTGAAGAAATTTCTGGATTTTGTTTTGTTTTGTTGCTGTTGTTCTCACTTATAGGTAAATGGCTTCTATATATTAAGATAGGCAGAATGTTATTCAGTTACAAGGACTATCACTGCTTAGCAGTGTCACTCTGCTGAATTTAGAAAAGTCAACATTGCTGGAGAAGAGGCACCAACTGACAGTCACAAGGAGTCCCATGCGCTGAACAGCTTTTCCTCAACTGTCACAGTCAGAAAGGAGTGTGACTGATGGCTGTGACTCTCACACAGAGTGAAGATACTTCTCAGTAACTTCATCCAACTGGGAAAGACATTGGCAAAAGCTGTAAGTTCTTGAAGTAAACAATTCTTATATCTTATAGAGAAATATTTATCTAAAAATCCAGCAAACTGTTAACAGAAACACAAAACAAAGTTGTCACACTTTTGTGCTACAGAGAACGCCTCCAGGAGGGGTTATGCACTGAACAGAAAGCTCTGGCTTGCTTCAAATGTACAGTTATCAGATCTTAAAGAATGATAATTTTTTTAACCAAACATACTAGAACTTGAATGGCAATGACTAAAGCAGTTACCTAATCAATGTTGTATTCAACTGTACTGTCATTGTTAATCACCTTCAGAGACAGTTACCCAGAAATCAATCTTTTTAACTCAAAGTAGTAAATGTGTGATTGCAAGTGTTTTCCTGTTGGTGTGTGCATGAAGGCCAGCTTTGGGTGTGTATCATTCCTAGGGTTCCATTCACTCTGATTTTTAAATTGACCTGGAGCCTGTGGTCTCCAGGACTGTCTCTGCCTACCCAGCACTAGGATTGTACATGGAAACCACCAATCCTGCTTTCATTTTTTTTTTTTAATTTTTTTAAACATAGGTTCTGGGGACTGAACTCACAGCAAGCATTTCACCAACTGAGATAGCTCCCCAATCCCATAGTTTTAATTCTTTGAAACGCCAAATGTTACTTAATTAGGTAACAGCTTTTGTAGCAGTATTGGTTTATATCACTTGGAGCTTCAAAATCATATGAACGTCAACCTGCTCTATGAGAGCAGATGTGCCAAAGGAGGGTTCTTTAAGAGTTTGTTTCAAACTCTAATAACATTCCCAAAAAGCCATTTATTTTTTTCTGAGCGTTGACAGCATAGAGGAGAATTCTCTCTTGGATTTATAAATCCTGTTTTTGTTTTTAAAGTAATCTGCCCTACACCTATCAAGAGCAGCACAAATCAAATTTACATTCCCATCTTTGGAACTCTCAAGTGCAGGAAGAGTAGTAACTCAATTCAAAAGAAAATGAAATCAACACATCTAGAGGGTGCCACAGCAAAAGCTTTCACGGTCATTACACTGTTACCTCCACTGTGAGGAAAGGCAGGTGATGCTTAGCCTGGGAGCATTCACTTGGCTGGCCAGCTACCAGATCTCACAGTGCTCACACTCACAGTCTCTTAGGTCAGGTAGGATGTGTGCATGGCTGTACATACATGTAATTTGTTGTGGAGACAAGGGAAGCCAGAGAGGTTTAGGACAGATGAGAGTAGAGTAGAAAGATTTCTCAGCACGACCAGGTAAACAATTAATTCTCTGCATAAGGAACTGATTGATTACTAACCTGATAGAAAGAATGGAAGCTTCTTTCTCCTGGTTGTTGCACAATCACACGAGACTAAAAAATTTAAAAAAAATTTTTTAAATGGTTAATCTGAAAATGTAGGTATAAATGAAACAGAAGCAACGTTCTTAGAGAATCTTATATTCACAGTACATTCTAAAAATTTGTGGCCAAAGCTTATCAGAGATGGGTGTTCTCTATGGTCTTCCTGGCACTATTTTGATAATTCTTTATATTGCTTAAAATGGGGGTGTCTTATCATTCATGAGGAATGAAGCCATGTTTTCTCAACCTGGAGTCTAAAGATAGTATGTACAAGTGGTAGGAATCTGAGGGGGATTTGGAAAGGAAGGCTAGGGAGGAACATTCCCAACATTCCCTTGTTCAGAGTCTGCTGGCATTTCAAAGGGCAATGCCTCATATCCTATAATAAAATCCATCAACATGATCAGGCCCTAGGGACCATGCTTAGATTCTCCAAAAAGACTGCTCAACATGGGTGTTCATTCAAAGTGTTCTTTTTGATTGAATATGCACAAACAGTGGAATCATGAAACATTATGGAGGAGACATGGGTAGTAGTTGGCATTTCCTGTTTCTTTCCAACTGACTCTGACAAAGCACTTATTTACTTAATAGTCAGCTTCTATATAACAGATAATAGAAATTACGGCACTATAAGATGCTGTGGGGTCACTGGGATGGGAAACCCTTGACTGAGAAACATCAAAGCACAATTCAAGGTGGAGGTGACTGTACAGCATGGCTTAACTGGATTGAGAGAATGAATGCCCATGTCCTGCTGCAGTCAGTTAAATACATTATACAGCAGTAAGCAAACAGAAACTAGAGGGAGGAAAATTTCAATTTAGTTAAAAGTAAGCTGAATGGAGGACAGTGACATAAGAAAAGACTAGGCCTGAAAGCTGGGCATGATGGTATACTCCTGTAACCTCAACTCTTAGAAAACTGAGGCATGAGGACGGTGAGTTACATGCCAACCTTAGCTACATAGGAGAAAGGAGGGCAGGAGGGAGAGAGTGGTTTGATTGGTTTGAGTTAAATCTTACCCAGAAGTTGTCAAACATTCTTCTTGTACCATACACACCCCAAATCTACACTGACAAAATCTAACATTTTCTAACTCAATGTAATAAGTCAGTAGTTCTCAACCTGTGGGGCTGACTCCTTTGGGGTTTGAACGACCTTTTCACAGGGGTTGCATAACAGATATCCTGTGTATCAGATATTTACAATATGATCATAACAGTAGTGAAAGAACAGTTATCAAGTAGTGATGAAATAATTTTATGGTTGGGGGTCACTATAACATGAGGAACTAACTGTATTAAAGGGTAATAGCATTAGGAAGGTTGAGAACCACTGGGCTAAGCGCTCCTAAGAGAACACAGGAAGTGAGTATCTTACCATGGAAGGCAAACTTGAAGAGGGATAATAGGATTAAACACTACTTTAAAACAATAAGTGAAATTTCACAAGTATTATTTTTAAACATCCAGCTCTCACAAGCATCACCCTAGAAATCTAGCACATTTACCTTTTCCAGCAAGTAGTTATTGATATGTCCCCCAATGGGGTCTCCCTTGAAGTCAAAGTTGATATCCATGTATTTCCCAAACCTGCTTGAATTGTCATTACGATTGGTTTTGGCATTTCCAAAAGCTTCCAAAACACAGTTTGACTTCAGCAACATATTCTTCACCCTTTAACAAAAATATATCAAAGTTATTATAAAAATTTCAGAGATAAAGACACTTAAAAAACTGGATAAATCTTAATTTTTTTTTTAGTCGTTATCTCTTTGTTTCTATTTCACTGACAAGATTCCTCTCACATAGTCACACCTGTAGAAATAACCTGGCCTCTGACACGACCTGATTAGTGGACCATCTTCCCTCCCACTAATCCTGCAAGCAACCCTTCAAACTGCTTCCCATAAATGACTGTATGCTGTACAAAGGCATGTGTGTAGGAACTGCTGGCTTACAAAGGAAACCATAAAATAAGGGCCCAGTATGCTCCAGAAAGACAGTAAATTTACATAAGCCTTATCTGCTACACAGAAATGAAAGTAATTTAGCTCTCAGCTAGCTACTCTCCTGAGATCCAAAAGAAATTACAAAAATTTGATCAAATGTTCACCCTGAAATTAGACTGCAAAGTGAAAAACCACAAGTGGGAATATGTCACAGATTTTAAAAGGTTTCTTTTGACTTCGTAATCCAGTTATGATGAAAACGCAAAGTCCGCACAGTAGCATCAAATCTAAATTCTCTTCCTTCATATCACCCAGCACCTGGATTCCAGGCTGTTGAGCTGCCTGTGATATACAGATGAGTTATGACTGTTCAGTAAACTAATATTCAGCTTCAAAGCAGTCAGTCAGGAAAGCACCCCTTTCCCTCTTCGAAAAGGCTGCACCGCATAAGAAAGTCAGTCATGTTGCTTCATTAAAAAAACAGACAAAATAGTCACCCATTCACTCCTTACATATTTATTAAGCAAACACTGTATGCCAGGCACCGTCCTAAACATGGGTGCCCCACACAGCGCAGAACAACTATGCTACTCATCTGACTGTGAGCCCAGCACAGTGCAGTATGAGTCCCTTTTACACATGAACTTTACTTTGGCTCTCAGCATCTGCGGGTTATGGCTGTGATAGCGATGGGAAGCTATGGGTCTACCTTCCAGGCCTCCGTTGCACTCAGAGCACAATTTTTTAAGACACAGAGCAAGGAATCTTCAGAGGCTTAAACAATAAAGCCAAGCTGTGCAAATTCCAGCAGCTCTGATGCTGAGTTTGAAAACTGGCTGGAACCAGGACACTTTCAACCATTTCAAAGTAGTTTTAATTTTTTTTAACTTGGTTAAGCTGGAAATTGATATAGTAATAGAAGTAAAAGCAGAAAGACAATATGCAATGTGAGAATCAAAGCAATTTACACATCAAAAAAATGTTTGCTACCTGTCAGTTTAGGTCTAGCCCAGTATGCACATTATGTGAATCCCAGCCCCGCCAGCCTGTGTCCCTGAGCCCTTACCTTTCTATCTCTGCTCTCTGGCTGGGATTGGTGATGGCGGCAATATACTGCATGATGTACTTACTGGCCTCTGTTTTACCAGCTCCACTTTCCCCTGGAGGATTTAACACGGTAAGGTAAGCCAGGAGTAAGCTCATTGTCAACAGAATAATTTAAACCTTTGACGACGACGGTTTATTCAATTTAAATCCCACCCTCCCCCTCCTCCCTTTATTATTTTGTCCTTGGCTGCCTCTAATAGATATGAACATGTCTTAAAAATGACAGGAGAAAAATTATAAACTGCAAATCAATGTTTAGTTAAGGAAAAATATATCAAGGAGTAAATTGTGGTAAACTAGCTCCCTTAGATTAAGCAATCACTCCTAAGTATAGCTGAAACAAACGAAGGTGCTGATCCAAACAGTAGCTACAGCTACATTCATATCACCTTATTTTCTATAGGAAACTTATTTTAAATTTAATGGGAATAAAGTAATTGGTTGCAAAAATTAGAGTCAAGTGCTCACAGGCCCAGAGACTCAGAGGGCTGAGAAAGGTAGCTAGAACACAGGGATTTCTGAAACCAGTTAGATCCAGTTTCTTAGTATAAAAAAGGAAAGAAAGAAAAACAAAAGTCTTAAACCAAACATTTACAATAATTTTAGTGAAAAAAGAAAACATCATGTTTGAGACACAAGACATCACGGTAAAGTGTGGTAATGGGTACAAGTGGGTAGTAGTGGAGGGAAAGATTTAGAAATTCCATCTAGTTGTTTAAACACCAAAACTTCACTTACTAAACCTTCTCCCAAGGGAATATTTTTAAATGTAGTATAATCAAATGTATCAATACCCCATCTTTTAAAAAAATTTATTTATTTTTATGTTACGTGCACTGGTGTTTTGCCTGCATGTATGTCTGTGTGAGGGTGTCAGGTTTTGGTGTTATAGATAGTTGTTAGTGTTGTGCCCAAGTCACAAGGATCTCCAAAGAGACCAGGGAGACAGACCACCAATGCAAGTGCACAAGGTTTATTAAATTGTCTATCTTACCTTGGGAGGGACCCTGTCTAGCAAGCTGATGCAGCAGCCTCCAGAGGGAGTAAAGTTCCCTGTCTACTGCTAGGTTTTCAAGACAAAAGTTACAGGATTACATCAGTAGGTACAGGATGGTTTCTGATTGGTTGACATTTAGGAACAATCAGGAGAATTTTTCAAAGTTATATTTTGGCATGAAATACCTGTGAAATACCTGGTTGACATTTGGGAACAATCAGGAGAATTTTTCAGTTATATTTTGGCATGAAATACCTGGGCAGTGCTGTGAGGGAACACTTTATTGTTTCTATGGCTTTGTCTTGTTATTTGGATCTAGCATGTTGTACATAAATACCAATAGTTTTTAGAACTGTATCCTGGAGACTATAGGGGAGATTTTGGTCTCCCCTGGAGTTTCTTTTGTGGCTAAACAGTTCCCAGGAGCCAAGTACCTAGGAGGCTAGGGTGGTGGTGGTGGGGTCTGGAGTTTCTTTGTGTCAGAGGCCTGTGTCTTTTCTGTAGCCTGTCATGGCTGCTAAAGCAGGGGCTGAGTGAGGGCCTGGTCCCTTCATTCTTAGAAGTGAAGCCTTTTAGTTTAGTTTGCCCCTTTCATTCCCTCCTCTTCATATAGGTAACCCAATTCTGGGTTACTAGTGGACAATTTCTATTGTCAGCTTGTCTCCTATGTAAGGGAGTTTTTTTTTGTTTTGGTTTTTTTTTTTAATTGACTTAGCATCTCAACCAGGGAAAAGGGGCAATGTATTCTTTTCTGTGCTACTTCCTGCTGACTTTGGGGTGTCATAGTCAGGGGCCCTTTCAGTTAGCTGCTACATGGGTGCTGGGAATTGAATGCAGTTCCTCTGGAAGAGCAGTCAGTGTTCCTAACCACTGAGCCATGTCTCTGGTCCCAATCTCCCATCTTTTTATAGATTATACTATATGCTATGGCTAAAGTTGGGCTAATAGATTGATAAAGAATTGGATAAAAATAGTTATTACATAATAGAATTGCTAAAGAGAATTGCTAGCTCTATAGGAACCCTAATGAAAATATGTCCTCTATAAACTGCTGAATGGAAAAGCTAACTTTGTAATAGTGGTGTATGCTTACAATTCTGTACTTTTACTTACTTATGCATGTGTGATTCTATGTACCTACACATAGAAAAAAAATATGCAAAAGGACACAGATTAACCATCTGCTACTTTTGGAATGTTGGGGGGGAAGACGTTTAAGAACAAGTGAATTTTTCCCCATGTCAGATGGGTCCCAGAGGAACCTTCTCTGACCACAGCTATTGCCATTGCTCATGGTTGCTCACTAAGACTTGATAATAAAGACCCTACTGCTGAAGATACTATATACCTTGGTCACTGGAGATGTAGAAATCAAGCTGGCAATGACCTAGAAGCTTTCTCTCTGCTTGCTTGTTTATTTTCACAGTCCCGAGAAAGTGCTACATAGGCTGCTGATATTGGTGTTCATCAACAGTTTTACTCTGTGAGCTACAGGAATGGCACTAATGTTATGGGGGTAACCAACCACTATCTGATTGGACTTAAGGCCCATTCCACAGGAGGAAACTCATGCCTGGTACCGTAAACTTAGCCAAGAATCTGTGGATGGGGAGGTCATAGCTCTAGAGGAATCTACTACTATTACTTTTATAAATGGACACAGTCTTAAACTGCCTTCTAAATACTTATCTTTATGCCCATAGGCAATGCAGCTCTCAGTCTTCACCAGAGAAAATTCTTTTTTGCAGTGACGATGGTTAATACAGAGACTCCCAACTGGTTTAAAAACTCTAGAGAATAAGGGTCTGTGTAGGGTTTAACCATAAGTGGGGTATCTATAGCACAAAGCTCAAGAAACACTGTAGAAGAAAGGGTGGAAAGGTTTCAAGACCCAGGAGTTGGGGAGGACTGCTGTGAAACTCTGTTTTTAAAACATGACAAGCCCCTACTTATAACTCACAAGAAGTAGCTGTGGTTGCCTGCACCAAACTCTGCATGAGATTCAGGCCTGCCAGCATCTAGCGTAGATGGGAAAGGACCTCTCAAGGCCCACCCCTAGCTGAGGAGCTACCAAAAGTTGATGGCTACTTGGGGGAAAGAGCATCAGTTTTTTTCAGGGGTGTGGATCCTCATAAGTTGATCGTCCTCCAGGGATGGCCCTACACACATGTGTATAAAGATGTCTAATATCAAGTAGGTTTGGGTGGGTTATAAGCAAAAAGGAAGACATGAAGTTGAGAGGAAGAAATGGGTGGTGATGAGAAGAACTGGAAGGGAGGAACTTGTGGGTGACAAATAATAAAACACACTGATAAATGATAAAAATACACTGCATGAAAAAAAGAGTAAAGGACTTCTTATTTTCATTCATAAATTTGTGTAACTGGTTAACTTTTTAAATTTTTAAAATGTTTTAATTACTAAAAAAAAACAGTTTAGTTCTGGGCTATAATTCTCCAATTCCAACACTAAGTTATTTAATCTTCTGACCCTTAGCATTCTTATCTGTAAAGTAGAAAAATAACTATGCTACATACCACTTAAAGTTATTTTGATAACCAAAATAAAATAATGACCATAAAAATATTTTGAAAAGCACAAAGCCACTAAAGAAAATGGGAAGTATTATTAGCACCAACAGAGATTCCCACAGTTTGAGAGGCCATCCTGGGCCAGGGAAAAGGTATTGTTCTTGTCCTCATTTTACTAGGTGAGATGCTGCAAAGTACTTAGCACTGTGTGAGTGGCTAGGCTCTCATTCTAAGCATGTGGACTAAAGCTCAACCTCTCCTCCAAAAGGCTCAGGTCCACGTTCAGGAAGCCCATCCCTGCCTGTCTGCACCACAGCACCAACTTCCAAACTCTAGTCTGACTTTGAGTTCATCCTTCACATTTGGCATGTAAGCACATTATTTTCTTAACATTTGAACTATTTTTGTTATTTTTAATTGGTTTTTTTTGTGTGTGTGCTTAGGATAGGAGGAATCATATCCCATGCTGGCTCAGACTACAAATGACTAAAAGGCATGGAAGTGTAATGTGTACTCTTTTTATGAGATGAGGTCTCGCTATGTTGTTCAGGGTGGTCTTGAACTTCCGAGAGTTCAAGCATCCTCTTGCCTCAGACTCCAAAACCAAGACTAGAGTCTGATCAAACAGGGTATATAGTGTTCATTACTTTTCTGGGCCTTATAAAATACTCTGGGTTTCTGAGCTTTAAAACAAAAAAAATCTCATCAATTGTGTGAATTCTTGAGGAGAGAGAGAGAGAGAGAGAGAGAGAGAGAGAGAGAGAGAGAGAGAGAGAGAGTAAGTTTGACGTTGGAACCAGGACCCCCTCCAAATACCTGATATCATAATACAGGTGTCTTTTGATCGCCTCTTCATAGCCTTGTAAGCAGCGTCAGCAATGGCAAAAAGATGAGGAGGTCTCTCATACAGCTCCCGACCTTTATACTGTTCAACTGTGTCCCTCCCATAGATGTTCAGCGCCTTGTAGGGGTTAACAGAAACGACCACTTCTCCAATAAACGTGTAGATGCGTCCTTTCTCAAATCTGCATAGAAGCAAGAACAAAAGGTAGCAGGGTGGTTTCTTTCCTCTTAATTTATTATCAAACAGGACCTAATGTTCCAGGAACTGTTTCTGAACAGACAATTCATCAGTTCCAGTTTACTAAAGACCACATTACAGCTGGGTGTGGTGGCTTGTGTTTGTAATCCTATTTCCTAAGAGGCAGAGACAGGAGGATTGCTGTGATTTCAAAGCCAGTGAGTTCCAGGACAGCTTGGTCTACAGTGAAAATCTGTCTTAAAAATAAACACACAAACAAAAATCCAAAGACTATGTTTTCAGTCAGGCATGGTAGCTTATACTTATACTCAGCTCTCTTTAGGCTGAGGCAGGAGGACTGCTGTGAGTTGGAGGCCAGCCTTGAGCTATGCAGTGAAGCTCAAAACAAACAAACAAACACAAAGACAAAACCCAAAACAAAAACAAAACCCAACCAACTAACAGTAGAGACCGTGTCTGATGTGGTATTCTTCCAATGTCACTAGTGTACTCTTCCAATGTCACTAGTGAAAAAGGCCAAGGGTTTAAAATTCAGGCAAGAAGAACTTGACACTTGGCAGGCTGTGGATTTCCTGTTTCTGATACAGAAGGTCAAGTAAGAGGAGGAAAAAATTTAGAGTAACCCTCACAGCTCTAGTAGGAGAAAAAATAGAAGCTAAATCAGGTCTTCGAATTTACTTCACCAGATTTTCAATTACAAAGAGGCCTGCTGACATTTATTTCATCTCCCTCTAGAAGCCTCACTAAATTGTCAGTAAAGAAATAAAGTGCAATCCACAACAGTGAATGGTAGAGGAGACACTTCTGGTTTAAATCAAATTGGTTTTTGTAGTAACTGCCTAGAATCCTGTGGTGTAGATACAGCATGATTTATTCAGTGATCTCCCTTCCCTCCTGCTACTATGAGCAACACTTAAGAAAACACCCTGGACATACAGCTTACAAATCAGTGGGAAGGACTCTCAGGAATGGGACAGCTGATTGGAAATTATCTATCTATCTATCTATCTATCTATCTATCTATCTATCTATCTATCTATCTATCTATTTGTTCACTCTGCATACCCACCAAGGATTGCCTAGTGTTTTCTCTTTTTTTTCTATTTTTTAATTTAAATTAGAAACAAGATTGTTTTACATGTCAATCCCAGTTCTCTCCCCTCCCCCCACACTAACACCTGGAAGTGCCTATATTTCTAAGGTATATGTAATATGATCCCATTTTTGTATGGGATTCCATTTATGCACATGTCTATACATACATTTGATAAATGAGTATATGTATGCATGGCAAGATATTACACAACACATGGTTTGTTTATCCTTATATACATACTGTGGGGTGATTTGGATGGGGGAATGAGGAGGCAGGCCAAAAGAAGCCATGGGAACAAAGTAAAATTAGCAAAAGCCCCATGACTGAAATTGTAAATAGGGAATGAAAAATCTGCACAAAAATTTAATATAAAAACATAGAAACCCCACACATACTATTTACACAGTAACCCATATCTATAAGTGTATACAAACTAGAGCTTAACTGTTTCTGCTCAAGTGATTGTTACCAATACACTTCATCTGCTGAGAAGCATAGGCATATACAGTCATCTTTCAGCACACATTGGAGATTGGTTCTAGGCACCCTCACAAATAACAAAATCTGTGGATGCTTAAGTATCTTATGTAAAAGATCCTAGACTTGTGTAACGCCTATATACATCCTTCTTCATATTTTAAATAATCTGTGGCCTCTAATAATTCTTCATATAAGTTACATGCTATCTAAATAGCCCTTACATTTTTAATCTGCAGTTGGCTGGTTGTAAGGATACCACATCTGTGAATATGGAGGGAAGATTGTGTCTCACTTCCAAGAGCTGAATGAAGAGTGCTCACACAGGAAAAATGTTGGTAGTTTGTCTCTAAGTACCCTGCTGTTTATAGCCAATGGACAAGGAGAAATAAGCATTGGGCCTGAAAGGCAAGTTTTTAAAACTTCCTTTAAGATGGACGTTGTCAGCTATAATTAAGAGTGGAAACAAACAAATACAGATGTTGTGAACAATAAATTAGAACCAAGATTTTTATCAAGTATTTGGAATGTATTTAAATAAGAGTTATCAACCAATGAGGTTTCCTGTGCATTTTTCTATTGTGGTTTTCCCACTGACAGCAAAAGCACTGATGTTGGGGTCCTTCATATCTGGGCCTGAGTGCTCACATTACTAACGTAACAGCTGTGAGACCTTGTGAAAGTATTTACCCTCCCTGTGCTTTAGCCTCTCCAGCTATTCCATGGTAATAATTATACCCCTCTATCCCTCTGGTAGTGAATAAGTGCTTTTCCCATTTTTTTCAAAACAAAAAAAAGAGCAATAGTTTTAAACTTCTATTATGCTATGCATGAAAGTGATGTTTGTTTGCATGTTTTAAGACAAGGTCTCTGGCAGTCCAGGTTGGCCTTGAACTATGTAACCAAGGTTGGCCTTTGATTCTTGATACTACTGCCTCTATCTGAGTAGTATTGGGATTGCAGGTGAGTATAGATTTGTTACCAAATGTTTTTATTTTTATTAATACTGTCCCTACTCAATAACCTCTATAGATGAGGAATAGACTAAATGATCAAAATGTTATTCCTTGTCACAGATGTCCATCAACTGCAAGTCACCAACAATATATCTGTCTATACAGCTTACATTTAAAGACCCACAAAGGTGAAGCTGGAGAGATGTGCTTAGTGGTTAAATTGTGTACAGTTCTTGCAAGGGACCAGAGTTCAGTTTCCAGCACCATGACAAGTGGCTCACAAGTGACTGTAACTCTCAATCCAAGGGCTCCAGTACCCTCCCCACTTTGGTCTCCAAGAGCAACTGCACAAAGCCACAAGAATATACATTAAAAAAAAATCCACAAAGAAATAAAAAGTAGGATTAAGCACTGAAGTCTCTCTGGTTGAATCTGTAAATATGCAAGACACGCTCAGCAGGCATCACCAAGGAACTGAGAAGGACAGGGCTGTTTAGTTTTCAAAACTGCCCAAATAGAAAACCATGAAAAGGAACAACAGGCTTTTAGGGAAAAAGTTACCTCAAGCTCATGAGCTGGGTATTCTCACTCAGAGGCATAAGCAATAATGTATGTGACAGAGTGTTGTCTTATCCCCAGTGTGTTTAATAATGCATTTTCTCACTGGACAGTTCTTATGGCCTCACATGGCATAGTCTCTGAAATTCTGTATTACTTCAAACTAAATATTTTTTAACTAAATCTCTAAGCATCGTATTTTCAAGATATAATTAAAATAAATGCACAGTAGCAGGTGTGGGGACTTATACCAACAACTCAGCACTTGGGAGGCAGAGGCAGGAGATCAAGAGAAGAAGGGAGAGGGGCTGGGCCCTGCCCCAACCTGTTGTGCCAGACTATGTTGACTCCCCATGGGAGCCTTTGCCTGTGAGGAGTGGACTGAGGGTGGGCTGGGGGAGGAGTGGAAAGAAGGGGGAGGAGGGGTGGGAGGGAGAACTGTGATTGGAATGTAAAATGAAATAAAAAATAAAAAATGGAAAAAAAGAGATTAAGGGCAGCCTGGGCTAGCTTGTTTAAAAAAGGTATAAAATGTATAAATCATTTGTTTATAAACCATGTTATCTATAAATTATAATATTTATGCTATTTGCTGACTTGAGGAACATTTCAGAGGCTCAGAAATATGATATTAAATAAATGCTCCAGTAATTTGTAAAAATGATAGAAAGTTACTATTGAAATTCTACACTGCTGGTTATCAAATGACTTTAAACTTGGTTAGATCTCAAAATCACCACTAGATGGTGCGACTATACACTCTAACATCAACTTGCAATTTCAGAAGGCCTTGGTGCCCGAGTGTGGAGAGGAACAGAAAAGCATTGCAGAAGGTTTTTTTAGGACTTCCCTGGAGGAGGATCTGCAGTAATTAAACTAGAAGAGGAGAAAGTGACACCCTGCTCCAAAATAATTAAAAGCGTTCCTTTGATATTTGTGTGTAAACCTATTATGACTAAGAGTCTAACCCTGGATATTAAAAGAGGAAAAAAACAAAGTACTGTAAATAAATCATAACAACAGAGTATAATAGAAAAGATAATAAAGCCATGTGCTTGATGTCTACCTTGGTTACCATTCCTAGAGCCTTCATCCAGTAGCTGTTTGAAGCAGAAACAGGCACCCACAGCTAAGCACTGAACCATACTCCTGGAATCAAGTTGTGGAGAGGGAGGAGGGATGAGCAAAGGAGCCAAGATGGTGCTACAGAAACCTGAAGAAACAGTTGACCTGACCTAGTGAGAACATGGAGACCCTAGTCATAAAGCTGGGGAAACAACATTGGACCAAACCAAGCCCTCTGAATGTGGGTGCCAGCTAGGAGGCCAAGACAGTCTATGGGACCTCTAAGAGTGGAGCCAGTCTTTATCCCTAGAGCACAAATGGACTTTGGGAGCCAATTCCCTATGGAGGGATATTATTGCAGCCCAGATACAGCAAG